GCCATTACAGTCTCCACCTTCAATTAAATAACCCCCAAGGCTTAATCACTGTTTTCCACAATCAACTATTGGGGAAAGGTAATGGAGCTGGAAATTGGTGGATAAGATGACTGCTTTCCATATCATGTAAGTAAGAGGTGTTTTCATTCATTCATTCATTTGTTCATTTTCTCTACATTCGCTAAGTTGCATAACAAGTATTTCAGAGCGTATTGAATACGTTCAGTGTGTCTCACGAAAGGGACTGCCACTAATTTACATTTTTGCTATTAGCAAACTTTGGCCTTTGTGTATTAAACAAATTCACAAAACTGTAAGGGCTTTTGAATAAGACTAAAATGATATGTAAAAAAATTTAAAGATCACAAGTCGGTTCGGTATTCATTACTAAATAATTATCATAACAATGATAAGATTAAAATAATATCACCAAAAAAATAAAAATTTCATCTCAATAAGGTATTACATAAAAATATTGTATATTATATATCACATATTATTTTTATCATCAAAGCCTGTTGCCACCACCTTGCTACTATCACTGTCACCACCACCATTGCTGCTATTTCAACCACCACTACCACTGCTGCTATTACCACCAGCACTGCTCACACTGCCACCACCAATGCCAGCTCTGCTATCTTCACTGCCACTGTCAATTAACCACCATCACTATAATCATCAACAATTCTTATAAAAAATACAACTGTCAATGTTATCATCATCAAAATAAAAGGATACAATTTTTGATACAACGGTATCACTGACCGTTTGGCTCGGCTAGCACTAACTGCAGTTGCCCGTACTAGTCCTGGCAACACTTTGTGGTCTACAATTGCCCCATCAAACAATGGTCCAAAAAATGGAACCTAAATTATATAGAAATAACAGATGATTTAGACATAAATTTTTAATTTATTCCGATTACTTTTGAATTTGTGTCTCATTTATTGAAATTTTTGAAATAAAAAAAATGAATTCCTTAATAATATAACATTAATAATAATGTTAGACTTATATAGCACAAAATACAGAAGCTATGATGCATTTAACATTAAATATATATTTAAAAAAAAGAATTAACTCCTTCTCTTCAACCTCTAATTATATTTCAATAAGTTATTAGCTTTTAACTGAAAATTTGAGTAGGAAAATAAGTTCCTCTGCAATTGAATTTCTGCCAGAAAATCGAGCTTTTTGTAGTAAAATATTTGTAAATCATTAAAAACTGGTGGGTTTTTTTTATCTTCGAAGTTAATTCAATTGGTTCTTTTACATGAGCAACAAAAAAATTGAAATAAGTCTGCAGTTATTCATGAAACTAAAAAACAGAAATCTTGATATTTCAAGACTTGTACCAAAGATCCTACATGTCAAGTGCTGTATATAGACACTTGTCTATATCATGTTCTATATCTATGTATATGACAAAAACAGAAAACTCCACCCACTACATATTACTGGATTTGGCACAATCAACAGTTGGATATCATATTAAACTTACTGATTCCTAAATACTGAATGCAAAATCGAATAGTTAATCAATTTGAGTGAGAGCACCAAAACTAACTAATCAATCTAAATAGAGAAGGTTCAATAACAAATTATAATAAAAGCACAGATTGATATCCAAATTATGCAATTTTCCATTAATGTACGAGACATTACGCATCCTCATTTAACCCATATAGGGCAGCCTAATAATAGACACATTGTCCTTTTCTATTGCATTTCTTCATTTGTAAAAGTGCCTTCAAAGCTTATCTACATTCTCTAAATTGGTAACAATTGGTTTCATCCTTGGGAGAGGATTTTTTAAATACATCTGGAATCTCACGAATATGAGACGATAGTCTTACTAGGAAGGAAGGGATAATTGTACATTAATGAATATATCAATAAAGTGCAGATAATAATGTAAAGTGCTCTGGAAATTTTTATGATTATGTAAAGCATTACACAATAAAGCCAACAATTAATTGTTACAATCATTGTATTTTGAGTGTGCCTAATGTTGGTACTTGTTAGAGTCACTTATAAAGTGATTAAGTTCACTGTAATGGTACTATTCAATATTGCATCTTCTTGCTAATTAGAAAACTGGTCTTTTGTGCATGTTTTTCTGTGTTTTTTTTGTGCAGTCACTTCAACTGTAAACAGCCATTCCTTGGTCCTTTATATCTAAACATTTATTCTAATATTAATATTCTATATTTTTTAAAATTTTCAATAACAACACTTACTTCTGGTTTTCTTAAAATCTGTATCCTAAAAAGTTGATTGGCTAATGGGTAAATAACAATAATGACATCACCAAACTCGGTTGCTAAGATACCACGCCGGTAGTCTCTTGTGTGTTCCGACCAAACTATATGAATTTCATCGTTACCAAGGTGTCTTAGCTGGAAAACAAAATAGCCAGTAATCTGATAGTTTATAACATTGATATGCATCATTCACTGCTAAGCGAGACAAAATTGCAAAGAATCTGCCTTGCTACTGGTCAATTTCTTACAATACATGCCATTTTTCCACCAGCTAAAAATATATTTGGTGAAATACTTTACACCCAGAGGTGTTTCCAACATTAAAATTCTATAGTGGGGATAAGGACAATCTATGGTAAAGAAGGGAGAGAGGCATTCACAATCTTTGAACTTACTGCAAGTAAAGTTATTCAAAAGCCATTAGGATGTGCACTGACTTTAAGTACAAATAGTATGAATGTCACTCCAAAATTGACAAGATCATTTTATTCTATGTTTCGCTTTTATTTAAGCATCATTTGGAATAATACATAACAAAAAGAGACAAAATATATACAATACAAATTACTAGAAATCCTAATTAATATGCATTTATTTAAATGAGGAAACTATCCAATCACAGCAAAGTAGGTATCATGACAAGAAAGTATTAAGAATGAACAGTTACCAACTAGGCCTCACAGATTAGTAGAACTTTGGTCAAAGTTTTAATTGATGCATTATTATTTTGATTTAATTTAATTTTTATTAGAAGTGAACTAGATCACTATGGATTATAATAAAATAAATATTTTATTTTTGTTTTTTCAAATAGAAATATGAAAGTAATTATACACTCATATGATATAGTCACTCGTTTAGACCTAGATCTGGGCTGGATGGCATACGTGTTGAGACATGGAAGATGACCTCCATTGTGGAAGTGGCATAGTAAGGTGCAGTGTTACCTGTGCTTTTGTTTTTTTGAAGTCCACCCATAAAACCAGGATGCTTAGCTAAGTCAACCTGCAAAAAAAATAAAATGATACTACATAAAAATGTAAACAGAGATATTAATTAAAAATAAACAGTGACCATTAAAATAGAAATTATAAAATACTAGTAATTACAAAAAAAAATTACAAATTTCACTTATAAATAATAAAAATAACAAATGAATAAGTAAATGCTCCAAAATAATAATAATAATAATAATATAATAATAATATAATAATAATAATAATATAATATAATAATAGTATATCATGAAACCACCTATACCTATCAAAAGCTAGTAGTACACAGCCATAAATTTCAATAAAAATTATTTTATGTTGGAAAATTATCAAATATGCTATAATAGTAATAAATTTAAAATAATCATGTGTGTTTTGTCTGTAGTATCATACATTATACAATCTCTCATAAATCAAAATTTCCTAACTATTGAGTCAGTCTTGACTTAACAGTAATCCACACATCAATCATACTCAGATAAAACTTCTATTATTACTACCACCAGTATTTCATTATTAGTCCATGCACACATCATGAATTTTCATTTCAATTTGTGGTTCACTTCAATATCCATCCTAGGGGTGGTATAAATACAATAGCCACGTCTCATCTATTTGTGATGTCATACAAAAGCCTCAGTAGCTCCTATTGCTATCAAGCCTGATGCAATCAATGGATCTTTTTACTATGCTGAATCAATCTTCATGAAGGTTACAAATAACAGTTTGCTGCAAACTTCTAATTTCAATAACATGAAAACATCTTTTGATAAGCAACGAAAAATCGAAATGAAAATTTGTTAATTGCGTTTATGATGAATTATACAATCTAGAGAATTTATTATTTATTGTTAATAATAATCACTACAGTATACGGATAATTGGAATACCATCTGCTTTAATGAAAAGTAATGTCGCAAAAATTTATTAAAGGTAGGTTTGGAAACAAAAACAAAAATCATTAGATGAACAACACATCTTACATATCATTTGTGTTATTCAACAGCCAAGTCTATCTTACAGTATCACAAGACTAATACTGCTACTTGCTGCCTATTGATAGGCATTTGGTAGTCACTGACACCTAAGATGGCATTATAGAGTAGTACACTTCAAAGAAAAGCACCAATAAAATAAAATACAAAAATGAATGTATTTAATTTATAAAAAAGGGTGATTGTTGTCTAACACAGATTAACAAGAACATGTTGGAATTTTACTATAGTACTACTACTGCCATGTAAATATTTAAATTCTTGAATATTCTGTATACTGTATTTTAATAATGTTTACTTTTTAACTGTAAATTAGAATTTATTACTTTTTATTTGCAAACTAATAGAATTTTGAATAACAATTCTGTAGTCTTGGCATTCTGTTTTCAATTTCTACCACCAGATTTTCAGGCGATGGCACGGTCATAGGGTACTGAAATGGACGGTTCTATTTTTTGTGGGGGTGTTAATTCAGGAACAGTGGTGAAAGTTGGTTGGAGATAAGAATTCTAGTTTGTAGTAAAACATCTGTAAATCATTGAAAACTGATAATAGTGTTACTTATCTGTGACTTAGAAGAAATCGATGAGATTCTTTTAAATTAGCAATTTTAATATTTTTGAGCATTTCCTTTTTTTAATAGTATTATATTGGTTAAGGCAGGGGTGCTGCAACGTACAGCCATAATATTGGTGCTGGTTCAAATATCACACTCGCTTATGGTTCTGGTGGTGAAACAAGTCTTCTCGGATATGGACTATAAATTGTAGGCCCAGTGTACACAATTTGGTTCATGTGCACTTTTAAGAATCCAGTACATCTTTTGGGATGAGTAGCGGGGTTACTCCGGTGTACTGGTCCATACAGCCCCAGTTTACCGGGTAGCTCAGACATGAACAGAACCTTTGGGGAGAAGCAAGTTTCTGTGCGAGCTAGTCTGCAACTCCAGCGCCTTCAGACTTTGGTATATAGTGCCATATACATCTAACTACATTATATAACATATCTCTATGTACAGTAGTTATCTGCTGTAATGATAAGGCTTCAGGTAGATTTTGCGACTATTAATTCACACGATGCTGCAGCACTCGGTGTAGGCAGCAGATAGTCTCCTGTCCAAGTACTAAGCAGGCTCACTGTTTTTTGTTGAGCCATTGTATCTCCAGCTAAATCCATTCACTGCTGATTGGCTGACGTCACTGCATTCAGTTTAGAGTTCAATCTTATTTATGTTAACATTATTCATACATAGGACAATGATTATTTTATGTGAATTTTAATAACCGTCTTCCTGGATTAATAATGCATTGGCAACAAAATGAAAAACAGCTTGGTTGTCATAGCAGCAAACAAAAAAACAGTGTGATGACCATAAGCCATCTTGAGACATGAGCTGTGAACCAGAGGTTATATTTGATTAAAAACATACTAACCCAATATCTTCCATCATATGAAATTGTGAATTATATTATAATCGTAATAATATTAAGCAATTAGTAAAGCTGCACATAAGTACACTAGCAGAACATTTTTATACGAAGGTTAGATTTAATGCTTGAAAAAAATGTTTAATGCATTAAATCGAACCTAAGTATAATAATCTTCCCCTAGTGTATGATATATGCAACTTTACTAATTGCTTTATAAGCCAATTGCCATCTTTTAATGGTAGTTTAATTAGATAATTAACTGTTGTAGCAGTCATCGGTTGCTATAGTGATATGATCAGTATACTGTGTGCATATTACATTTAGCTCTAGGTATGTTGATATGCTCCTGCAGTACGCGTAAAGTACACACAGCTAGCGAGGTTACACTTCAGTACGTGTAAAGTACACACAGCTAGCGAGGTTACACTTCAGTACGTGTAAATTACACACAGCTAGCGAGGTTACACTTCAGTACGTGTAAAGTACACACAGCTAGCGAGGTTACACTTCAGTACGTGTAAAGTACACACAGCTAGCGAGGTTACACTTCAGTACGCGTAAATTACACACAGCTAGCGAGGTTACACTTCAGTACGTGTAAAGTACACACAGCTAGTGAGGTTACACTTCAGTACGCGTAAAGTACACACAGCTAGTGAGGTTACACTTCAGTACAGGTAAAGTACACACAGCTAGCGAGGTTACATTTCAGTACGTGTAAAGTACACACAGCTAGCGAGGTTACACTTCAGTACGTGTAAAGTACACACAGCTAGCGAGGTTACACATCAGTATGGATACGATGAATAATAATAGCACTTATAATGCGATTTTGATAGACATTCGTCACAGAAATAAACATTTCTTGAAGCATTTGAGAGAATCACATTTTTTGGTCAGTGCAGACTGGTAAAATCATGTGATGATTTAATATCTAGGCTAGGCTACGATCTAGGCCTTGGCAGCCTTTGTTTTTGTTCATTGAGTCTTTAAAATAGATCTAGCATATTCCTATTAAATGCAGTTTCTTTACTTTATTAGGGTCCATTGATTCAAGGAATACCTTAATTTTTCATACTTAATATTTAATTTGAACTTGAAGGTTCTAATCAACCTTGTTTTAGGAAAGTAATTTTCAATTACCACGTCAACAAACAATGATCGGGCAAGTGTCTGCCCTCTCTTTTCACAGGAGCAAGTACAAGTTGAATTGGTCTTTTGCCCACGAACCCAACAATGATGCAAGCGTGCTGATGTCACGATTGACTTATAATACTCCTTTTTGTCCATTTACATATGAACATAAACATTATTTGAACTGGCCTACTGTACAATTTCTAAATTTAACAAAAACAAGTACATCAACAAACAATTTAACAATAATGAAGCCGAAGGTTACAAAGTTTGCACAATTAACTACAAAATATATATATGACTTATTGGATAAAAAATACTACAAAATATATATATGACTTATTGGATAAAAAATACTGCAAAATATATATATGACTTATTGGATAAAAAATACTGCAAACTGTTAAAAAAATACCCAACTGAATTATTATTGCTTCATATCAATAATATTTTCATATAGAACATTTAAAAATTAATTTATAAATTAAAAAAAAAATAGTATTCTTGATCCTAAATTTAAGTCCAATATTGTATAAAAATTTGTATGGCATCATTATATTGACCAAGCTTTTTTTTTTTGGAACGGGGGGTGAGGGTGCTGTTACACCACCATCTGTGACCTTCAGAATTGAATTAGGTTAATATTGTTCAATGAAACATAATTTTTATAGGCAAATTTAAACTTGAATTAGAAAACAGATGAAATGATTTGATCATAAAATATACAGTATGAGTGGGAACTCTATCATTGAGGAATTTTCTTACTGTAACAACAAAAAACGAACTAAGAAGTACAAGTGGTAGTTAATATAAGTATACAGTGCCATAGTCATGTAGCAATGGTATACTATCCAGAGAATAGACTAGAATTCTTTAAATGACTACTAAACATGTTAAAATATGAGCATAATTTGTTGAGCTAACATACCTGGTATTTATTAAAATGTGCTGCACATGTGAACACACTATTTTACTTGTATTTATATATCTAATTAACTAGTGTAGCACTAACAAATCTCATCTCACTAACCTCCCATGCAAGGGCAGCAACAAAGTCTTCATATTGTCTGCTGCCCCCATTGTTCAGAAGTACTGAATTTTTATCCTCCTGGCCTTCTGCTACATAAAAAATTGCAATTTTGTGTGTTTCCCGGCTGAAAAAGAGGAAATACTGAATTATTCAGGAAAGTATTCAAGGAAAAGCAAAATACTTGGAAAGTTGTAATTTAATGGTAGGTGTGTTTCACCTCACAAACATTCTCCGAAAATAAAACATAAATTTGATATATGAAATTTGCAGAAAACATATTTGTTCTCAGTAGAGCACAGACAATTTTTTATTTTATTTTATTTTAGTTCTCATCCAACAGGGGGGAGCCTACCTGGTATTTGTACTGTACATAAAAATCAAATTAAGTTTCTGCATTGTCCCATTAAGTGGGCAATACACAATTCACACAAGAGTTTATTTTATCATTTTATTTAATTTATTTCCAGACACAAAACAAAAGCAATAATATACAGTAGGTTTAATCAATATAAAATACAGTAACTTAAAAAGGGCCTGAGAATTGCTTTAAAGGAAATGAGGCATTACAACCTTATTAATTTAATGATAATTAAACTGTTATTTAATACCTTTTTTCCCAGTTCATGAAACCTAGTTGACTGAACAATTGACGGCACAGTTGAAATGCTGATGACGGCTCCTCGCATGGTGTCTCGCTCAAATATTCAGCTGATATCCTGATGGAAAAAAAATATAAATTATGCACTATTTTCTGGTACCATATTTACATATCACAGAAGAACAAATACCTATGTGTCTAGTAAAAAGTGACATCACTCTACATATCTTTAATATTAAACTTTTTTTTAGTGCAATTTGCATTTTCTAAAGCATTTCAAACTAGTTACAGCAGGTTCCACACAAAATGATAAATTTACCTTTCATCTGTCTTATGTGCTTCAAAGTACTCTTGTTCCTGGCTGCATTCAAGCAACAGACTATTGGTCGTCAGAGTCTCAAGGTCCGATGGTATCTGATCCGGAGCAGGGGACGGCAAATTGAGAGGAATACCTGGTATCAGTAGACATTCACTGCTTGTGTACCCTATGAATTGTAACAGCTGCATCAAACAACAACATAAAATATCAATTAGAATTTGTATAAAAGAAAATATTGAGACATTTTATGCTAGTTGCATTATGAGATTTAGATGCTTGGTGTAGACACTACGCTCAACGGTTGTCGACGTGTACGAATCTGTAGAATGCAGAGCCACGATGCGCATGCAATGGGTCGTTTTTAATGACGATTCTGTAGACTGCCACTGATAATCAGCAGAAGGAGTCGCGTCGTCTAGCGTTTGCAGGGAGCGGATTTGGATTTGTCGTAACAACTGTTGTACGAGGCAGTGAGTGCCCGGCTATACATTTAAAACAGCACTTTTTTTATAATTGTACAGAAGTTACCATGTAACATCTCAAACTAACATATAATAAAAAATGATTAAAACCTCGATTAAAATGATATTAAGATAGCTGTATTTACCTCATCTATCATATCAGAGTTTCCAGCCTCGTCTTCCTCCCACATCGGTAGTTCACCTAGGTTCTGTTTATATGTTTGTTTTTCCAGTGATGTATTTTCAATTGTTTGTTCAATTGGTGACAAGGCAGTGGGATTGATTGAACCAGGACGCAGTGTACCTGTCATTAAATCAAAATACCTTATTATCAGTGTACTTTTAGTGATTAAATAGAAACTGCCACACAATAAGGCTAGCATAACTGCTTTTACTGCTACTGACAATTAGCGTCACATCATCAAGCACTTACACAGATCAGAGATAAATTTGTTGTTGATAAATGGCTGTGTTTATGGTCACTGGTTGGCATTTTGTTACTCACCTACAGCTGTTGGGGTTGGTTCTGGAGAGGGCGGTGTGGCATAGAGTATTGCAGCATCCCATGAATATTTACCACTGCAGTCTCGTATTATAAGCCTAGCTCTTGTTGACATTGTTGTGAGATCCCCAGTCATATCACTCAGAAAGTCGGACTACATAAAAGAAATAATGTAGGCCTTTTTATACTTCAAATTAATTATAAACATCTGCTTTTCACATAGTAGATTTTTATGTTATATGAAACAAAATGTGTTTACTTTAATTTACCCAACAGAAAGTAAATAAAGTAATTAAAACACCTTTTTAACTTAATATTAATAATAAGTAAATTATTTTATAGTGCATTCCGCATAAAACCTCTATGCGCTATAACAAAGAACCACAAGCAGTAAATAAATTAGACTCAAACTACTATATTAATACAAATTTTATATTTTAGTATTTAAATTTTTGCTGTATTGAAATTTAATGGTTGACTGATAGACTATATTTTCACATACATTTCATATTTTTGTATTTAAGTGGGCCCCTGAACATGTTCCGTACAGGTTGCCTACTCAAGATAAGGTTAATAAATAAATAAATACATACATAAACTAAAACCAGTTCTGAACTTACATCATTGTTTTCTGGTAACTCAACAACTGACACAAGCACAGATTCATTGTAGACGTAGAACTGCATGTTAGGAGATTGGAACATAGAGGGCGATATTTCATCTAGGTCAAGGTTGGGAATATCATCGTATTCGTTGATATTTGCAGTCAAGCACGCTGACCCTCCATCTAACGGGAACTGATTCAAATGATTGACAAGGTGACACATTACCTGAAATAAGCGTTCATGTCATAATTATTATTATTTCTACAACTACTATTATTATTACCATATTAATATTACAATTAATTATATTAGTATCCAATGTATTAACTAATGAAGAAAATAAAATTTTAAAGAAACAGTTACATAGATCCAAATTACTAAATATGTAATTTTCTCTTTATACATTACAGGACAGAACAATGCTTGAGAAGTCTCCTTATAAGGCTTAGGAGTGAGCTTTTAATTAATAGAAAAACCTTTTGCTGTAACAGTTGTATTATTTTAAGACCCTGGGATTAGAAGCCAAGCATAATAATTAATTCTAAAATTGCTTTGTTAATCTACTTACTGTAGTTGCTGCCAGACGTAAAACCTTCACTGACTGATCACCAGAATCCTCAACAACTACATCAATTTTACCTACATCAACAAACAATAGAATATAATAATAAAATCAACATCATTTATAACACATTAATTTATTTATAATTCAAACAAAAATATGCATGTTTCAATTATATCAAAAGTAAAAAGAAAGTAAGAAAATTAATTCATATAATAAAGGAATGGCAGTGAGCCACCAAGAACAGATAATATGGAAATGATGATGGAGAAGGAATATTATATGCAAATTTAAGGAAAGTTTGGTGGCTTTTTGCTGTATAAACAAATATGTCTGTCTCTTATACACATCTAGATGTGTATAAGAGACAGGCATCAAACAACAACATAAAATATCAATTAGAATTTGTATAAAAGAAAATATTTGAGACAATTTATGCTAGTTGCATTATGAGATTTAGCCTGGGGTACATCCTTTAATAACTCCAATGTGACGTGAGGGTCATAGTCTGACGATGACAACTCTGACAGACTGATGCTGTTCCTCCCGCCAGCTGGCAGCCCTTCAGCAGCATATTGGAGAACCTACAATGACATTATAGTTGAACTTACTTTAGGGAAGCATATACAAATACTTTTATTTCCATTAACACACATTCATTTTTTTACTGTATGTTTTATCAAAATTTGATTTATATTTATCACAGCCATGATGAAAAACAGTATGTAAATTGTTATGTATTCGTGAATAAATAAGGCTTTACTGCTACTACTACTACTTAATTTAGATTAGATTTTAGAAATAGATGTCAATGATAGTTATTAATGAAATTTACGGATTATCCATCCTGTGTAACCCAGTGTCTCACTCTAGCACATCATATTAATAATACAGAAAATTCTGTGAAAATGTCTTACAGGGGTAACCAAGAGAGGTTATGAGATCTGTTTAGTTGTAGAAGCAGCATATATTGCATGTATAGTTCTTTACTTGGTATACACATACAAATATTAAATGAGATGTATACCTTAAACACAGTAAGCAGCAGCGGTGCCTTTTCTTTAGATAGTTTGGTTTCTGTTGGTGTTTGGAGTGATTCTATTGGAACTGCCATACACCATTCCAACAAACAAAACATTAAGGACACTAAAAACTATAAGAAAAAAAATATTCAGGTAAAATTGAACAGTACCGTCTCTTAGTATTGGAATCTCAAAAGTATATTATTTCCTGATTACTGGAATCGGCATTCATGCAGAATGTAAATCTTGTCTTCCTCCCATAGGAATATTTGAAGTTATGAAGGCATATTCAGAGATTTTAATACATTCAAAGGAAAATTACATTCTACTATTATACCCATTTATACTGTAAATATAGGTAGAGCAAAAGCCAAACATAAAATGTTTTTATCAAAGATGGACAGATATGGTAATGGTGGGATACTTGTAGAGTGCCATCCACAAAAAAATCGCCTCAAGGTGCTGACAGTATTGAGATCACAAATCATGCGGGGAAAAAAAACAAAACAAGCTGTTCTGGTAATGAAATGAAATGGCAGCAAAACATGGCATATATATATACATTAATATATTGAATCAAACTGCGAGCATGAAAGGGAAGAAAACGTGTACACACAGGTGGGACGGCGTCAATATACTGGGCTCCAGCAGATTTCACTTAAGATAAGCCTTGGCTCGGAGATTCTAACCCTTGATCTTAAGATTCAGAAACATTAAATATCATTATGAGAGAAAAGTATTGTTCCATGGGTTTCTAGTACGGTTGTATGTAAGTTTTGGTTTACATATTACAGAAAAAATTAAAACAGTAACTTTGTTTGGTGTCTGATTGTATAGCAATACCTTTTTGTCCTCATCGGCATCACTCAGTTCTGTGCTTAATTGTAGACTTGATATTGTCATGGAGAGAACCTAAATCAGGCAAAAAAGAAAATTGAATAACAACATATACAATTAGTTTTTATTATGAATATAATGTAGATATTAAATTTTCATTAAAGCAAATGTAGAATCAAATTTGCTTTGTATAATTGTTAATTTGGCATTTGTTAAGCACCTCCATGGGCTACAATATGATCTGATGGATGCATTAATTCAACATGAGGAATCTCTTTTGTGGTATTATATCTCCCTGAAGTAACCAATTCAGATTCTTTACAAAATATATACAGCTTATAACTTTCAGAAGGTAAAATTTTTTAATTAATCATTTAGTATAAAGTTTTCATTAGAACTTGTTTGTAAATACCTCTATTATTTTCTTTGGCATTTCTGGATAATGACACCCAAGTCTGTCGGCATGGTTACTCACAAGCAGTAGCATATCGCAGGCCACCTGGGCTACAACTTTGTAATTAAACTGTAGAAAACAAAACAAATCCAAAATTTTCAAATAATTATTATGTATGGTGATAATGTGTCTATAAAATTCTGAGATTTTTTTTGGTTATCTTTGTGTTTCAGTTTATACTGATTTTCAGTGTCATAAAAAATCTAAATCTAAACCAATGTTATTAATATTTATTGCTCATAGGTATACTTTTTTTTCAGACATAACAGTCGGAAACTAGAAAGAATGCACCTTCCTATTGGGTGATAGATCCTAGTTTAAGACTAGATAGCTTAGACAATAACAGAAACAATAAATATAATCAGTACTATTGTTATACTGTAACAAGAATATTATGTTATACTGCAAAAAGATGGAGTGGTACATAATAGGGAGATGTATAACCAAAATTATAGTAAATATTACCTTAAGGCAAGCTAATAAAACATTGACTGCCTCCTTGATTTTGTGGTGAAATGTACAGTGAACTAGCTCCTCATACAGAAAAATGCCTATACTACTTATTGCAATGCATCGAGCTTCACAGCTTGGTTCCCGACGGCCACACTTCAGAAGGCTTGTGATAAGGTGGTCCTACAAAAAAAATATTTATCATAATTTCCTTTTTATGCAAACAGTAATCAGGAAATCATAAAATAAAACAATATATTAAACTTAGTTATCATCCTAATTATCATCATTATAATTGCTATTTTATAGAGTTATATACGATTTTTACCTTGACATCGGCACAATTCATAGTTGTTATCTCCTTTGCGGAAGGCTGTAATAATGGTATCTCACAGAATAAGTTTGGATAACAAACCAGTGATCCAAGTAATGATACTGCTTCTGTTCTTGGAGCCTATATATGACATTTAAAATGCAATCAATTATTACCACATAAGATATATTAGTCAAATGAATAAAATAATGTAAAAATCTATTTCTAAGCATTATCCAGAATTTTATCACAGTTTACGGCAATTTTATCAGGTGAATTATTTGTCTTGCAACCATAGTGAAAATAAAATTAGATAATTATCTTGCAATCATAATATATATGAAAATTAAATGGCCATATTGCAATTACAGTACATTTAACATAGGATGGTTATTCTTCAATCAAGGTACAATTAAATATTATAGTTATCTTTTATAATACATTTAAAAATTGGATGGTCATCATGTAATCATGATACATTTAAAAATAGAATGGTCAAATTGAACTATAAATGAAAATTAAGTGTAAATGAAAATTGGATGGTCAACTTGTAATTATAGTACTGGTAAAAAACTGAAGGGCCACATTGAAAATCATAGTACACTTTAAAAATGGATGGTCATCCAACTATAATAATAATACATTTGGAACTTACTTCTAAATCTATTGTAGACGTTATCATATTGGCAGCTTGGATAAAGTCGAGGACAAGCATCGTTGCCCCAGGCAACAGGCAGGCAAAGAAAGCTGGGGCTGCATGCTGAATTATTATGTTGATTATCTCCTTAAAATAAAATTATTACATTGATTATTAAATGATAATAAAAGTGGGTAACTTAAAAAAATTAAAAACACACATTAAATTTTTACATTTCAAATTGAAATTTGAAATTTTGGCTCTGCCCCTGGGGTTGGGGGTCTTTGGGCCCACATTGTAGCACCAGTAGCCACTTGTACTGGATACATTTTCCCTTACACTAACTCTCACAATTGTGATTAAAATACTGAAAAAATTATTTTCACTTAAAATGATTATGGATATACTGTATTGAATAAAATATTTAATGTTATTTATATAATCATGTTGATTATGTCTTGAAATTATAAAATTTTAAAATAAATAAATTTTACCTGATCGGTTCCAACGAGACCGAAATGTAAGACGCGGTAGAAGTGCAACAGGTGGTCTTGCGGGAGCGGATGATCATGCCGCCGTACCGTCATCATACACAAGAGCTTATACGCAAATAATCGACCTTTTTGAAACCGATCTGACAGATAAGTAGCCTACAAGAAGAAGTCATGATTTCCATTTACATTAATAAATGCTAGTCCCACCTTCTTGATTTATGGCAAGCCAACATTAATCCTAATTCTGAGCTCCCCATCTTTGTGACAGGCTTGATTAAAATTGTTTACCCTATTTATTTATCCTAGAAAAGTGGCTGAAATTCAGAGTCTGTCTTAAATATTGCGATGCTGTATAAACGACTGTCTCTTATACACATCTAGATGTGTATAAGAGACAGGTACATAATATATACAGTTTTCAGAAAAAAAAAAATCTATAAAAAATGTAAAAAAGCACCTGAAACAACCAAGGTGAGAGTATTCTGAGTGGTGGTATAAAAACCGGCGGTGGTGGTGTGGTCTGGTTGTCGGTACTGATACCAAGGTTATCCCTCATCTTTGCCAACATCTGCCAATACTCACAAAGGCAATCAAACACTTCAGCATGCAAGCGTGGATTAGAGATCTTGTTTACATCACCAAGGATACCAAGCATCCTCTTCCAAAGCACAACAGCAACATCCGGTAACCAACCTGCTCGGTTGCCGCCAGAGATTATACTAGAATCAGCAGTGGATATTTCTTGACACAGAAAAACAAACAGTAACACTGACTAGTTAATGAATACATCTTATTAAAAAACATACAGATTTTTTGAGTTAATAAACATGAACAACAAAATTATACATATTGCACAGTCCAGTGTACAAACAATGGGATACTACCCTGCTTTTATCAAGATGTCATTTTAATCTTGCAGTAAACGTACCATCTTCACCATCGCTGTCATCATTATCTTCATCTTCATTACTACCTCTCCTTAAAAGCCTCCTGCTCTTGAACTCTGCATTGACTTGGTCTTCCAACGAAACTGAATCATTCATTGGTGACACAGGAGTGAAGGAGCTAAGCAACGATATTGAGTGACTAGAAATAGAACATGTATGCATTATAGGAGCCTGGGGGTCAAGTACGTCAGACAGACTTGTGGGTGTCAGCCGACAGCTTTCAGTGTTACTTGGATCAGTGATCTCTGAACTGGCTAAGCTCAACCCGTCTTCATTGGCATTTCTTCCTTGGTACGTAACATCCTCATTTATTGCTTCACCTATATCAGAAGTAAAGAGAGTAGATGGATGCTATGTTTACAATGATTTAGACATCAATCAATCAACAAATGAATTAATCAATAAATCAATTAATAAATCAAGCAATAAATCAACCAATTAAAGTAATCAAACAAGCAATCAATCAATTCACTGAAACATAAACTTTATCACACTCTTTTGTTAAAATGTATTTTGAATCAACCACATATAAAAACAGAGACAGTTAACATGTCCCTTTCTCGATCTACCAACTGTATACCTTACATAACATAAGAATTAAGTATTTATCTATTGACATAATGAAGACAAAATTGATGATAATGTAATGAGAATATATACTCACAGTCTTGACAAGAAGTCTGATCATCTGTGCTTTCATCAAATGTACATATTTCACTTTCTGTATATGCTTTCCTCATTGCATTTGTCTTAAAAACATTGGTTTCTGAAAAACAAAATTATATCAAATCATTAAACTAATAAAAACACTAAATTTATAATCAAGAAATTTCTGAGGAACTCAAGTAAAGTAAAGCAAGCAACATTCTGGCTACTGCAAGGCCAGTCCGCATGTGACATGCCTAAATATGGTCATGTTGACATGAAATTATGGCCATATATAGGCACATCATGACTATATATGGGCATACGATACTTTTTATTAAAGAAAATGTGATAGTGTAGACAGAGCTTGAGGAGTAGAATGAGAGACTGCATGGGGACGAATCTCATTTAGTCATCGTTTAGACATATCCTATTAAAAATTTCATGTCTTTCCACATTTCCTGGAATTATGCCTTATCAAAATCTTATCAAACGTTGATAAATCTAACAGATAAAATCTTGTAGTGTTGGACTGTCAATAAAGGTCATAAGCATGAATATTCATGACCCAGTAGAACCACATTCTCACCTTGTAAACGAAGTATATCTGTTAGCTGATGAACATCCCCCGTACTACTGCTGCGGATCAGTTTCCCTTTATCAACATTGTTGTCTTCTGGAAACGATCGCTGACGTTGCACACCTTTCCGCCTTTCATCTAAACAATAAAAAGATGGCATTAATCATACAATATTATATGAAAGTTAGGAAATAATATCATGCTCATAATAAAAAAAGCTTGTATTCATACATTTTGTACTCAAAATTTTAAAGTATACCTTCAGATTCTTTAAGCTTTGTAAGGATTTCAACGGCTTCTTTTTTTGACGCAATATTCATCCGCTGCATCCTACTGTTCCTTGATACATTGAGGTCATCATGACTTGAAACTGTTAACACCCTACTACGTGTGTGCTCAGGACTTTTGACAGGGGGTGGGGAAGAACTACTCCAGCCTTCTTGTGAGAATGTTCTTTCGTGCTTTCCCCGGTCCTTCACAGTCGAGGACGATATACGGTGGCGTAGTTTTTTTTCTTTTTGTTCACTGAGTTTGTCCAGAGGTAGATCTTTAAGGTCCAGGCCGTATACTTGCTTTGCTAAAATTCTTGTCAATGTTCCCATAGTTTTCTTTAAAATATGAAAAAGAAATCAAGTCAAATTTTCAGGTAAAATAAACTCAAACTACATTAAACATGTTTAGAGTTTTTAATTTTAAACTTAGGTAAACATTTCATTTATAGAGTAGCTGATGATATGGATATGAATCAGTTACATGGTTAGTATGACCACAAAAAGAGCATTATGGGTATATGTTTCTTTTGTGGAAGAGATTGTAACATGTTATAAGGCAGTGTTTAAATTTGCGCCTAATTTAAAACACAAAAATAAGATAACTTAAATGTCTTTACATCTCAAGCATTTGATTTTAAACACTAGCAAAAAACAAAACATAAAATAATTACATAATATTCAATGCACAATAGATTAACTTGATAGACTTACCGCCCATTCCTCAACTAGCTCTTTCCAATTAGTCAGAGATGATAAGATACGTAACAATTCATTCCACAACTCAAGAGGAACTTTAACAACTAAGTTCGCTTTGATCCATGTAACAATTAAAGTCTATAAAATGGAGTCAAAATAATATTAATACAGTACTATGAATTGCAATTGTTGGAATTGCAATAAAGGGCAGTGAATTATAAGTTATGCTTATATATAAGATTGCCAATTTCTTTAATGAAACTACAGATACTAAATATAGAAATTAACTACCAGTCCAGCCTATCGAATAACACTTTCTGATTAGTCAGTTGTTAGGTTTCATTGACTCAAAAGTCCATTCTATTGTGGGCGCAAAATTTAATTGCTTAACAAAACAACCACAAAGTAATGCAAATAAATGAACTTGAAACAAACCCTTTTAATGACAATTAATAATATGGATATAATAATAAGTGGGAGAATATTACATGGTACAACTGAGTGAATGTATTAGTGCTCCACCTTGATCAACCCAATTACTCCAACAACCGACTCTTTTAACGTAAAGATACTAACCTGAAACAACACCTGTGCCAGCTGGGTTGCTAGCATTAATTTTGCTTTGGTGTTGGTACTTCCAAGGATACTTTCTGTAACCTTCAGTAAGACTTTAAGTAGTTGTTCTCTGTAAGAATATTAGAAAAAAATATTGTATATAATAGATAGAACAATTTTGATTGTACAATTTCCAATGAAATTTAATATAACACCAATTTGAGCCATTTGCCTATTGAGTGATAGTTATGTTACTTACACAGTTTCCTGTTCCATCTTCACATACATGACGATGTGACGAAATACACCAAGCACACGTTTACAAATATCAATCTATTTAAAAAAGAATAATTTCTGTCACAATTGTTATACTGCCCTCAATTGTTTCATAAAAGCTATAATAGAGTTGGTCTACAAAAACAAATGCTACCCTAATGTTATAGATTAAAATTATCACTGATAAGAATACTTATTTATAAATTACTACCCTTAGTCATAAAGTTCAAAAGACTTGAAAAAAACACCTTTTAACATAATAAGCGAGTTCGAAAATTAAAAACACTTTTCTTACATGATCTTTTAAAACTTTTTCTTCAGGGTCTGGCTCGAGTAAAAAGGTATTGGCAGAATTGGTTATAAAGATTTGTAGCGTTGGCTGAAGGCCTGCTTCTAAGCCAGACTTCTCTTCTTGTGCTCTGTAAGTCACTGCACTTAGGTACGATTCAGAGCGTTTCGTCTTTGCAATATTCTTAAGGAGCTTATTTGGTGCTGGTGTATTAAGATTCTAAAAATATAAAGAGTATAACATCATTTATAATTTTTTGGCATCTTGGTACTCAAACACTTTATTATTTGGAAATTAGTGTCAATTGATCGGCAATCTTACAAAAATCCTCTTGAGACTAAAGCCTTATTTACATTGGCTTAAATTTGAAGACGAAACAAGATACACTGATCTTGGATAAAGCTAAGAATCCATTTGTCAGGTTGTGGTTGCGGCTCCGGTTGCATTTACAATGTCTTTAAAGTGATTCCATGCATGTGCGCTTTTAAAGGGTGTTTTGCACCGATTCACCACACCGCAGGGCGGGCTGTTATCAAAACGGATGAATCACTCTGTAGAACGATTAACATAAGCGCATGCGGTTACAGAGACGTTACACAACTGCATTAAATGAATCACTCTCTTTTTACTGTACTCATGCGAATAAGCGTCCGGGCGCTTAAAATATTTTTGGCTCTTCTTGAGGGGCGCTTATTCAAATGGGGCTCTTATGAAAACAGAGTGGAAACTGAGGGGCGCTTATGGAAATAGATGAAAATTGCAGGGGTGCTTATAGGCCCCTTATGGGAAATTGAAAAATTCAAAGGGCACTTTTTTTAATCGAAGATAAACAAATGGTTTTGGTGAAGAAAACGTAATCGTTGAGAGAGTATGGCTTATGACAAGAATGTTGGGGGCATTTACACAACAGCAGATAAAATTAGTGGTGGTGTTGGTGGTGGTGGGAAGCGTGTTGACCATGGTCATCTGCCAATTCAGATTAGCAGGATCATTGCAGGGTTTCTTGCTTTAAGAGTGATGAGGTAAGTTTATTTTTGTTGACTGAAAATGGCCATACAGTATTTTAATTTTTAGATATTAAATACTGTGTAGTTCTAAATCCCAAAAGGGTAAAATAAAAGAACGGGATTCTTAAAGATGCATCAAAATCGAAAACCATGTTAAACTTAATGGAGACTGACAGACCGACAATGCTAAGATAGATGCGATTAGTTGATGCAGAAAATTAAGTTGGTGATGTAATATACTGTACTGTACGATTGAATTTTTTTAGGAATCGAGGGGCGCTTATTCAAAATTGAGGGGCCGCTTACTCAAACGGGGCGCTTAAGACAATTTTTATGGTAGGAGAAGCGCTTATTCAAAAGGTGACGGGGCGCTTATTCACGTGGATACGGTATATCGAATAAAACGCACTGCACCGCAAACGTAGCTGCAATCGCAATCTAACAAATGAATTCCTAGCTTTAATCTTAGCAGTTCGCACTAGAATTTAAATAAACAGTAGATTTTACTGAGACTGGTGATAAATGATTGATTGTACAACTTTTGCATGCCTGGATAATCTAAGTTGTTAGAATATAAATAAAATGTAAATAGAGCGGCATTCACATTGGATCTGACTAAAAATTCGGACAGCGTTTCTGATGCACTGAACGTCAGCTGTTCAGTGGACTTTCAGATCCAAAAATTCGGATTCGGTGTGAATTAATCTTAAGAACTAAATGTGTCTTCTTATAATCCTCAAACTGTCAATTGTTTACCTCTTCAAATTCAGGTATTAATCCTTCAACTTTATCTGTTGGGCTATCAATATGTTCATCAGCAACATCAGCTGTACTCTCAGACCGTGGTGAAAATTGAATCTCTGGCGGTTTTTTCAAAAACACTGGCATATTCTCCGTGCCACTGGTAGACTAAATACAAAAACAAACAATAGAATAAATACATTTGAAACCATAAATGTGTAAATGTTGTCTGTGATGTCATATGACCTCAAGTTGTGGATTGTCTATTACTTTGGCTATGTTCTCACACGGCTGCTAACGGTTAGCAGGATCCGAATCCTGCTAACCGTTAGTTGCCGTGCGTCCATACGAGAAAATCCCGATCTGGATACCAAAAATATGATGATCGAATCACTGGCCAATAAGAAACTGGAAATTGTAAACGCGTACATGTGATTGGTTAATGATAGAAACGCGCTCAACTTGCTAACCGATAGCTCTTGCTAACCGTAATCGGATACTGCTAACGGTTAGCGCTAACTGATCGGGCGTTCTCACGCAGACGCTAACGGTTAGCTCCCGATCCGGATACTAGGGCTCTCGTGAGAACAAGGCTTTTGTTTATTCTTCATACAACGAAAAATCTAATAATTGAGGTAGGTTTTGAAATTTCACCTGAATCCATTCTTGGTAGACCTTGAGAGACCGCTTTACAGCTTGGGATTCAGACATTGGCAAAAGAAATCCCTAAAAAAGAACATTGAAAATAATAAACTTGATAATATTAACAGCAATAATAGTGAAGATAATATTACAAGTAATAATATTTAACAATTAACATAAACAATATAAATATATGAATAACAACAGTGTTCTCCAAAGAATGAGGGTCAAGCATCATGGTACCTGGACTAAAACAGGCCAGCAGCATCATAACAGAACGTAAATTTTACATACATGTCAAACCAAGGAAATTGGTTGTTCGTAAAACAGATTTGTTTGTACAATATTCATTTTTAATAGGCAAAGGCCTACGTACCATTTTGTGTGAATCGTTTTGTCTTTCTTGTCTACCTATTCATTTGGAGTAGGCTAGCCACTTTCTAGCACTGGGCAGGTCATCCCTAGGCCTAGCTAGATAGCTAAAACAAACATCGGCCACGTAGGCTGCCTAGATTGACTAACACTTATTTAAACTTACTTGTCTTCATTGTACAGTATTATATTCAAATTATCATTATCAAAAAACAACCAAGTTCAACATAGGGCCTAATTGTTTAAACACAAAAGCAATCGCGTTGTGACTTCGCAGTTAAGAAGTACTGTACATGTAGTGAGAAAAATCCAGATAGATCGTTCTGGACATGAGCATGGGCATGCATGGGCAGTTTTGAAGCAAACAGTTTGTGTGAATCAAGCTAACGATCGTGTTTTTAAATGAAAGTGACATTTCTCAAGGTAAAGATAATGCAAAAATGAACGCAAAAAGATCAAGCACGAGGTTGGGCTAATAAGGAGCGGTTGGCGCACCGGTTGTGGCTTGGACTCCCAACCTTGAGGTCAGGGGTTCGAAACTTTGGCTGTGCAAATCGCTTGTGTCCTTGGGCAAGGCACTTTATCTACAGTTGCCTCTCTCCACCCAGGAGTACAAGTGGGTACCTGGTAGGTTCCAACACAACCTGCGCTGATTACTAGCTACAATTTATGGAATGATAATATAATTTCATTTACTAATTTAATTTTGTGTTCAATGTGTTCCATATGTGTTTGATCCAATGACCGGGGTAGTAATGTGAAGCGCTTAGAGGCCTTGTAAAGGCATGAAGCGCTATATAAGAACGACATATTATTATTATTATAAACCAACACCATAAAATAGCATTGTTTTGTGTTAAAAAATATTTTCACACTCACTCTTCTTTAAACTAGGATACATATACAGCAATGTTGATTTTGAATTATATTAATTGATGATATTTTAAAGCGTCACGGAAGACGCATCAAGCATCACGGCCAGCTTAGGAGTGTCACAGGGAAGTCCGAAGCGTCACGGTACCATGATGCTTTAAGGGCCTGGAGAGAACACTGAACAACAAAAACAGCATCGGCAACAGGACTAGCAGAAACTGCAGCAGCAACAGCACCAACAACAGTAGCAACAGCAGTAGCAACAGCACCAACAACAGTAATAACAGTATTAGTAACAGCAATAGCAACAGCACCAACAACAGTAATAACAGTATTAGCAACAGCAGTAGCAACAGCACCAACAACAGTAATAACAGTATTAGTAACAGCAGTAGCAACAGCACCAACAACAGTAATAACAGTATTAGTAACAGCAGTAGCGACAGTAATAACAGTATTAGCAACAGCAGTAGCAACAGCACCAACAACAGTAATAACAGTATTAGAAACAGCAGTAGCAACAGCACCAACAACAGTAATAACAGTATTAGAAACAGCAGTAGCAACAATAGCAGTCACAACAAAATATAAATATAATTAAAATAATATTTAAAAAAAATATATAAACAAAAGAGTATTGCTAATTATTGATAAAAACAATAATATTTATAATATATAATACTGTAAATGAAGAAATAAGCACTGTGGCAATGTCCAACTGCACCTATTCAAAATCAATGGAATGTTAAAATTATACCATGTACTTATTCATTTACAGTAATGATTCTATTAGCAATAATATTGATGATAATAATAATGATAATTTCTTTCTATTGTCTTAACTGCTTTAATTAATTGTACAGTAATCCAAATCGAATACAAGCAATAAAAAAATCTCAATTTACCTGTCGTAAAATCTCATGAACAAAATTGATATTTTCTCTATTGGAGTAGAGAACTTCCCGTACAACTGCCTTATCCTTGTCAGAGACAACATCCTCTAGTTGGGTATTGGCATTAGAGGGCGCAGTTGCCTGCTTGCTGTTGGTTGTTACAGCATTGTGTCCTAGTATTTCTGGTAATTCTTGACTAATGGATACTGTAAGAGACCTGTCAAGTGTGTTTCCTTTGTCTTTGATGACCTCTGGTTGTGGAGATCTAAAAAAGGAAAATTGTTTACTAAAAATAATATTTATTAAAAATTCGAAAAAAACTGTCCAAGAAGAAACAGTGGGCCAAGGGCCCAACACAGAAGTTTTACCCTTCACTTTGAACCAAAAATTTGGTCAAGTCTGTGGGATGAACGTTCATTTTCATTAATTTCTTTAATTCATATATAAATATTCATATAACAAAAAAAAATTAAAAGAAAAAGAAGAGGGAAATATATACACTGTATATTCCTCAAAATTAAAAAGAAAATATTTACAAATTACTAGTAAAATAGCTTACACCATCACTGATGAATTTGTCATTTACACCCATGGTCCAGAAAATGCACAATTATATTATTACTATTTCATATATTAAAAATTTTTTTAAATAATTTTATCAACTACTAATACTGCACTAGTCAAAATTGACAGTTGGTGAGGTATGTTGCCAATTGGAGGGGTTATCAACTTCCTATAGTGGGCATAGAGGTCCTGTCACAATACTGACCCTGCCTACCTAGGCACACTGGGTAGTTCAGCCCAGGGCCTAGATGTAACAATTCACACTTTGATTTGTCACCTAAGTTCTATAACTGGCAAGTCACTCGCTGTTGAATGAGAAATAAATAAAATAATAAGTAAATGTTATGTTTTTTTAAAAGAATGTCAATACTTACTGTACTTTTTCTTTCTTATTGGCTATAAACATAACAAGCCACCTGACCACACTCACTTTACAATGCGTTATTTGGCTACTGGAAACATTTGGCTGGATCTTACGTGTGCCTGGAATGTCTGTCAAGATTAAAGTAATTCCAATTATCATCAAAAGAATTTAAAGAATCAAATCAAATTTTTTATTCATCAATAATTTCTATAAAATCATATAACAAATGCATGGATTGATAAAGATGATGAAATGGACATCCAAGAAACTCCAGGGAGCTTGTAAATAGGAGGCCCATCAAACTAATTACTTTAGTTTGAATAATTTTAAGGTTAACCTAAAAAAAAAAGAAATGGCTGGTTCTTATGTGAAAGTAGCAAAAATTATAATAATATGATAATGAACACCATAAATATGGTAATTATGAAGACAATTATGATAATAATGATGGTATTAAAAATAACATAATATAATGAAAGTAATTAAATATATTGATAATGATTGTAATACTAAAACAAAATATATACATGTATGCATTCATATATATTCACCTTGGCCTAATAATGAAAGTACAGTAGCAATAATTATAATAAAATGATAATGAACCCAATAAAGATGGAGATTATGAAGATAATTATGATAATAATAATGATGGTAGTAAAAATAACATAAATAAAATATATTGATAATGATTGTAATACTAAAAACAAATATATACTTGTATGCATTCATAATTATTAATAATTGATTCATAATAAAGATTACATTGCACGAGTATTTAAGGATTGAGGTTTTACGTAGCTTACCAAGAATTGGTGAGTACAGACTGGTAATGTGGGAGAACTCAGAGAAAACATGGGGTAAATAAAATTTCTTAAAATTGTCCAATAAAAATACAAAACATTTTCTTGGTTGATCAGGATCGTTCCATTGAAGCTTGCTTACCTGAAGAGATAAAGGAAATCCACCATTAAACTCTTCATTTTCAAAGGGATATTGGGATTAATTCTTAAAAATTACAGTACATTTCAAGACATTGGCAAATAAATAGCTGAATTTCCTGGATTACAAAAAATCAATAATATTGATGAATAATTATTAAATGCATAATTTCTATGAGCTGTTCAAGTTGTGAACTCACTTGAGCCACACTGTATTGAAGAAGCTCATCAAACATGATCTGAGAGAGGTTCACAATAGTGTCTCCTGTTTGTGTTGGTAAGATTGGAAAAATTTCCACTTCATTGATCGGATCTATAAATAGACATATGCAAAAAAAAAATCAGTAAAAACTATTTAAATATGTAAGTATAGTATATAATAGTATTACATTCAGAATCTAATGTTTATGACATTTCTTTTGCTTACGGTCACTGAAGTACTTCTAGATAGTAAAATTAATTTTTTTTAAATGTAATTAATGTGGAATTATTTAGTGAAAAAATAATAAATATTCAATATATAAATCTATGAATTTATAATGTGTATTAAACAGTTGTCTCAATGTTTTCCCTCATGGAAGCTTCAGAAAGCAACAAACCAAGTAGCAATATGTGATTATTATTTTTCAAATATAATAAAAAGGAGTAACTTACACATATCAATACCCATTTGTTGTGACTTAGTGTTTTGTGTCATTATGCCTTCAAGATCACTTCCTTGCACTCCATGAGGTACAGGGAAGCCAGGTATTAACGTAGCATAGATCAGGTAGCACTCCTCATCAGCTGAATCTTGTAGGGCTTGGAACCAAAGCATGAACAATTTCAACCCCTCAATCCGAACCTATAAAGAACATTATTTATGATATGTTATTTAATCAACCATCGATTTATATAATCCAAATGAGGACAAGAAAAAAATAATATGGGATAATTAAAGGGAGTTTTTTAAAGATCAAATTATCAATTCTGTATTGTTATTGTTATTATGATCACATTAGTCAAGGACTACCGTACTCGCCTGAAAAAAGTGCTTACGTTTCCGGATGTCCTTTATTAATCTTTTTTTTCATTCAAAAGGTACCCCTTGAATTTTCCAAGTTCCCATTTAGAACCCCCCAAATTCATCTATTTCCATGAGCGCCCCCTCAATTTCCACTCTGTTTTCATAAGCGCCATTTGAACATTAAGCGCCCCGTTTGAATAAGCGCACCTCAAAATTCACAAAAAATATTTTAAGCGCCCGGTCGCTTATTCGTGCGAGTACAGCACTTCGGCACTTTTAAATTTATTTATATTACATATTTGAATATGTATTGGAACCAAAATTAACGATTGCAAGGCACTTTGCTTTTTAACAACAAAGCTCCGAGTTCCATTCCTTAAAATTTCAATACCTGGAATGACCTCTCCTTCCCTACCCTATGCCACACTAATTATTATTTTTTAAGTATTGAAAAACAAGGAGAGCGGAAATGGAATGGAACTGGGGACCAAGGGTGAAGTTCAGTGTGCGCATGCACACACACACACACACACACACAGTGGCTACACACATAGTGGCTACCACTAGGCAACTATGCTACACTTCTCTCACGCTGTTCTGATAAATGAAAGACACATAGTTTATTTGATAGATAAATTCTTAAGTCCTGTCCAGACTATCAAATTTTGTTTGACAAAAACATGCCTAAATATGGTCATGATGACATCACATCATGACCGTATATAGGCACATCATGATTATATATGAGCATACAACAGTTTTTTGTCAAAGAAAATTTGATAGTCTGGATAGAGCTTAAAGCTCTGCCAGACTATCAAATTTTCTTTGTCAAAAAACTGTTGTATAAGATACAAGATACTTTTATTGTCACTTATTGAAAAAAGTCACAAGTAAAATTCTTTTTCCTGATGCTTATACACGTAATGAATATAAATATAAATACAAAAAAAATAGTCATGATATATACTGCCGTGATTCGGAAAAACGCATTATATCCATTTTTGAGAATTTTGGCTTAGGGGCATCCTATGGATGTAATTAATGTATCATGTGAATTGATCATATACCCCAAAAAATGTTTATAAATATGAAATTAATATGAGAGTTAAGCATTATATCCATCTACCAAAGCAAAAAAATCTGGAAGAGTGCATTATATCCACCAAGCATTGAAGAGTGAGCAATCAACCAATCACAGAAGATAATGATGCATATTTAATTAGTTACCTAGCTGGTGGAAGGGCATAATAGGGTATAATAGCAAGTTTGTTTTTGATCAGAGTACAATTAATAAAGGAAAAATGCATTGTTCTTCATCTTTTAAAGAATAAGTTGCAATATGACCATGACCAAATTGTGGCCATAATATAAATTCTAGTCTGTAATATTAATAATTATTATTATAACTAAGACTATTCAACAAACAAAATAAAATACATACATATCAAACTTAAGAATGTTTTACTTAGACTTTCCATTTAAGACAATGCTTGGAATTTAGATATAATATCTATGCTAAATTTACATTTAAAATATTTAGCTATATTTAAATGAGTACACTTCCTTATAATTTAAACAGAAATTTATAGATGGGCCTGAAGAAGTGTATTTAGAAGTTGGGTATTTATTTTTTGTTTATTAAATTGAAAGGCGGGTATTCTTCATAGTGAATTTAAATAAACTGATTATTTATGTTGCAAACAAAGCACCTGTCTAGGCACAGACCCTGTCTCTTATACACATCTAGATGTGTATAAGAGACAGGTTCTTTAGATGGTTACTTGAGTGCACTATATATTATTATATGCAAATGGTATACAGTACTATGCCTGCTTACCTTCACTGTGTTGCCCACATGAAGTAACTTCTTCAATATTCGTCCTACAATCAAAATTCAAAATCGTGTAAGGCAATCTCAATAATAGAAGGCAGAATGCTCATAATGTTGCTATAAGGCAGCTGATACTGGCCATGGATTAGTAGGGTTTAAAGAAAGATAGTCAATGTGAAAAAAAGAAGGAGTTGAACATATTGAATTACTTTGTATCATTTTACATTAATGTATATTGAGTTGGCAATGGTGTGAAAGGCTTTCCTCATCAATATTTATAGAATAGAAAAGTAATGTAGAAGGGAAAAAACTTAAATGAATTAAGTGCACAATTAAATGGATACCAAAAAGCCACATTTTCTGAAATGCCTCAAAGCATGAAGACCCTGTTGGAAATTTTTGAAGGAAATATTATGTTTATATGCATTTCATAACTATGTACACATTATCAAATGACAATACTGGTGTATTAATACATTCTCATTCCCATGGCAAAATCATATTGAATATGATTTATGATTTTAATAGGTGCAAAGATTTGGAATGAACTAAATGACGATCTAAAAAATTGCAAAAACATTTCCTTATTTAAAAAACATATTATGGCAATTTTGTAAAGAATTTGTATTTTTTTTTAAATGAAACTATTATTGTATTTTCTCTGCTAGTGTAAACTTTCTATTTTATCAAATTCAGTAGTTAGTAGTATTAGTTATTCAATTAGTTATTAGTGATAAGCATAAGTGAATATCAAAAACAGTAGTTAAGTTTGTGTACTATATTTAATTTTAATTTTACAAAGTGTTGTAGTTATTATTTTTGTATACTGTAAAATTTGTGCCTTATACACGGCCTTGCAGAAAAACAACTGCTAGTTGAGCCAAGTTTCCGTGTTGAAATAAAGCTTATTATTATTATTAATATCAATATTTTTTTGTCATAGAGAACTTGATAGTTTTAACTAAAACATTTATTCTTGTCTGGTCTCTCGGCCTCTCCCATACATCACTTTGTATGGAGGGTAGGCAAAACCAATTCTTTATAGGTGGTGGAATTGACTATGCCAATTTTTTTTCTTAGCACAGTGACATTATATCCTGCCACCAATTATAAATCTCCATATACACTATCAGGTTGTATGTGACAAATATGTGTGATTTCCCATATATTGGCATTATGGTATCATACCACATCCATATATGGGCATTTGGTATCATATCGCATCCATATATGTAGGTAAATCACAGGTATTGACCATGTAGAGCATTATAGTATGAACAGAGCTAAAGATAACATGCACTGGTGATATTAATTTAACAGGAAATTCAGATAAGCAATAGAACTTTGAACCCTGAGCTACTAATTAGTGATGCAATAATGGTCTCTATTCATTAGTCCAAAGCCCAGTAATTTTGAATGAAACTAACATTTTGTTATTTTTGGCCAATTAGCGCAACCGCTAAAAATGAAATGTATGAATGAAAAAAGAAAAAAAAATTTCAGAAAAAATATACCGCTGCCTTAAAATCTCCAAAAATAAGATAAATTACTTCCTAATTATATAAATTTCAAGCATTTAACCATCCCATTACTACACTGTTTACATTCACCGATAAAATTTTATTTTTATTTGCTCCTCCATCTGGACAACTATTTGCCCTTCTCTGACTATCTTCAAGAAAATAAGTTCACAAAAGAAGGTATAAAAAAAGTCTTGTCTAGGGCACTAATGCAATATTATGCACCTATGCTATTAAATAATGGTCTATATTCATTAGTTCTAAGGACAATAATGCAATATTATGTTGACATACTCACCTATGCTATTGAACTGCCACCTCTGATGAATCAGATCGGGAACAAACAGTAAAATTTTCTAAAAAAAACACATTAATCATTATAATAGACTTTTTAGGTAGGAAATATTCTGCTCTCATACTGTAATAAAGTTATGAGAGTGATTTTGGATATTGGAATGGTGAGTTGCTTTCAAATCCTATGTAATTATTTTCTGTAAGCATCCACACCCCAAGTATTACTCAATCTGATGTTTGTTCATTTAAATTAAATATTCAACAATCCTTTGTATCATCCTTAAAATGAGATTTTTGCTGAAACAATTCATTTAATTTATTAAACTATAATAATTTTAAAAACTCAAACAATTTTAACTTGGAACCAGATGAATCTATTCAATATTAATTTGATTATAATCTTAATTTGTTGGGATACTGTACAATGGAAGTGTTTAGATATAATTCCAGTTCTACGTTTGTGGTACAACAGTATGTCCAGAGGCTCTGTGTACAGTAAAGTGTAGTCAAGTGGCCAAGCAGTAAGACAGGGGTACTTTGAGACACCAGGGAGCAAGCAGTAAGACAGGGGTACTTTGAGACACCAGGGAGCAAGCAGTAAGATAGGGGTACTTTGAGACACCAGGGAGCAAGCAGTAAGACAGGGGTACTTTGAGACACCAGGGAGCAAGCAGTAAGACAGGGGTACTTTGAGACACCAGGGAGCAAGCAGTAAGACAGGGGTACTTTGAGACACCAGGGAGCAAGCAGTAAGACAGGGGTACTTTGAGACACCAGGGGGCTTCTGATTGCACGACCACGGTAGGACGTAGAAAGTATGACATCAGTAAGTCATCTGTGCATACGAGAATGTTAAGTTCTCCTCGTTGCGTGGATTCTAAAACGTAATTTGGCAAAATTTAAGTATGCGGAGAACGATGGATGCCTAGTACTGTAGGACGGTCGCAATGAACACCTCTGGGTCATATCTACTATAAACAACCCAGTGGTATAAACTGGTGTTAAAACACAAACAAACGTTAATTCCTTTAATGCATAACATTAAAGATGCAGTTTCATAACCATTTGAAGAAATTTAAAAGTCACACTTCAATAACTATTAAGACAGTAAACATCTGGATCGCTCCAATTTGTGAATGGCTATGCCAAATAGATGCAAACTAAAAATATGTGCTGTTCTTTGGAATAATACAGTTGAAATGCACAACTATTAAGGAAATAAAACAGCTAATCAATCAAGCAATGTTGTTTTTATCATGTACACCAGCAGTTAACATAAAAGCCTTTGTCAATATTTAATCAAGTAATGAAGACTTCCTTTATGATTCAGATTTTAAAACCTTGGGTAAAAAATATATTTGATTTTAATACCTCCTTGATTTTACATTACTTTCCAATACTTAAATAAATCAAATGTTATGTTTATTATTGATTTCTAAAATTTGCGAGACTGATTTTATTCATTAAATAAGATTAAATATCTTAAAACATGCATACAAGGATTTTTTTACTGTTTGATACAGTAAAAGATATTTATAGTGCCTACAATCTGAAACTTCCTCTTTCTGTCACACTGTATCTAGGTCATTTTGTCCATGTTTACTGCCTTCAAACTATGTTTATTAATGTTTGTATCATTGCAGTTTCCTTCATTTTTTTTATATTTCAATCTTCATTGTATTCTGTTTGATCTGTTGCCTGAAAGAAGCATACACTAACATAGTCTGAATGTATTATGTGTCTCTGCTGATACAGAATACCCAGCTTAAGTGCTCTCAACAATACAGTAGAACCTCGTTTTTACGTACCCCAGTTATACGAACCCTTGGTTTTACGTACGCCTCGTATCAACGATGACGTCATCATAAAACCCGAAAATATTCAAAACAAACGGCCCTTTTCAGAGCAACCATAAGTAAAAAGACAATAACAATAAACTATAACAATAAACAAACCATAATGCAACATATTTTCATTAAACAGCAACATTGATTAAGTCTAATACCGGGTTGTTATAATCTAAAATCATGTGAACTGAGTGAGATGAACAACTACCGATGGTGCTCAAAATAATTGCTTTCCTCCTTAGCTTCGTGTAGCAAACCATGGAAAAACTTGTCTGGTCGAAAATATAAAGTGATGAATTAATATACTAGACACATGGTTTTATTTGAACACTTTATTATGACATCGTAATGTGATGAATAAAAACACTAAACACATGGTTTTATTCGTAGGCCTAGAGGCTAGGTCTAGCCTAGCTAGGTAACATCGTTCGTTTATACATATGTATATTGAGCGTTACGTATGTATTAGGTCAAAGGTTTCCACAAATTTAACCCAACCTCTATTTTACAAATCCCCCGATTTACGTACGCCCTCCGGTCCCGTACCGTACGTAAAATCGAGGTTCTACTGTACTGACAAAATATCTCCAATTTATTCTGTAAACTATTACCTGATTTACACTAGATGATTTTGTGCGTGTGCTAAATGTAAACTAATACCTGATTCACACTAGATGATTTAATGTGTGTGTTAAATGTAAACTAATACCTGATTCACACTAGATGATTTAGTGTGTGTGCTAAATGTAAACTAATACCTGATTCACACTAGATGATTTAGTGTGTGTGCTAAATGTAAACTAATACCTGATTCACACTAGATGATTTAGTGTGTGTGCTAAACGTAAACTAATACCTGATTCACACTAGATGATTTAGTGTGTGTGCTAAATGTAAACTAATACCTGATTCACACTAGATGATTTAGAGTGTGTGCTAAATGTAAACTAATACCCGATTCACACTAGATGATTTAGTGTGTGTGCTAAATGTAAACTAATACCTGATTCACACTTGATGATTTAGTGTGTGTGCTAAACGTAAAGTAATACCTGATTCACACTAGATGATTTAGCGTGTGTGCTAAATGTAAACTAATACCTGATTCACACTAGATGATTTAGTGTGTGTGCTAAATGTAAACTAATACCCGATTCACACTAGATGATTTAGTGTGTGTGCTAAATGTAAACTAATACCTGATTCACACTAGATGATTTAGTGTGTGTGCTAAACGTAAACTAATACCTGATTCACACTAGATGATTTAGTGTGTGTGCTAAACGTAAACTAATACCTGATTCACACTAGATGATTTAGTGTGTGTGCTAAATGTAATCTAATACCTGATTCACACTAGATGATTTAGTGTGTGTGCTAAATGTAAACTAATACCTGATTCACACTAGATGATTTAGCGTGTGTGCTAAATGTAAACTAATACCTGATTCACACTGGTTGATTTAGCGTGTGTGCTAAATGTAAACTAATACCTGATTCACACTAGATGATTTAATGTGTGTGCTTAAACGTTCCTGAGATATTCCTACCAAGATACTATAGATGATAAATTAAATTCTACCTAAAAAGGCAAATACAATTGAATGCAGAAGTGAAGATACACGCCACAGTAAAATATAACAATAGCACCCCAGTACTACTGTATGTGCATATATGGGGAATGTTACATGTATAGGTCTCTGCGATGTCTGTTTAGGATATTCACAAGACGCATAATTTTACACATATATGCATCCACATGTATAATTCTAAAATTTTCCATACTGTAGCATAGGAAGCTTGTAACAGTTTTTATTGTGTAAATCAGGTACAGTATACAGTAAAACTGCAGCACAACAGCCTATATTATAGTAATATTTAATATTATCTCCAAATGAAGAAATTGAATGCTCGATAAAATTTAAAAACTTGCATATAAAAATACATTTAAATATAATGATCTTATTAGATTGGCAGAGATGAGATTAATTATAATAGATTATTAATTACAACCTTCAAACCCCTACCTCAAATATATACAAAACAGAGTCCAATTCTTCCCTTTGAGCTCGGTGGGCTTTTTGTCGGAGGGTGGTTTCAACAGCAATTAAGTTCTCGTAGAAGATATGATAAACATGCGAATAGTACTGTTCAAAAAAAGCTTTCGCTTCAGTATTGTCAGAGTTTTCTACAAAACAAAGTGAGAAAATTATGAGAAGCAAGCAAGATTCATAATAATAATAATAATAATAATATAAATTTTTTTCTCCCTGATGAATAGTTTTTTTCAGATCCTTTATCAAGTTGTACTTGCACCAACTGTAAACCCCAAAATTGCCTGAATTTTATGAGCGCCACAGGTATTCACCTCCACCCCTTACCCTAACCCTCTGTCAAACAGCTTTCTCTACAATATCATAGAATTGATTATTAAATTTATTAACTCTTCAAAATTAACACACTAGTACAAGTAGTGTACTGTAGTAACACTGGCACAGGTCTTGTTTTGTTTTTTTTTCCCAGCACTTTTCATTTGGTTCCACAAAACCGATCTCAGCAGACATGCACCAATTGCACTTTGACTGATGATAGATTCTGTCTACTACCAACAAAGAATTAGTATTTTAATTTCACGGATAATTATCAAAAACTAGCTCAAATTTGTTCAGAAAATCGCTCGGAAAATAGGTGTGCACAGAATAGTAATAATAATAAAACAGCTATTATGATGCACCATATAATCTAGCATGTTGTTCCGAGGCGCAGTGACTCTTGACTACTGAATAATGCATTGGTTATTTATACAGTATTAAGTTTAAGTCAAGGCCTAATTTTCTGAAGAATATGCGCGAAAAAGTTGGCCTTTACTTTCCGAAATGCACGAACAGATTTCTAGGCCTAATTTTAAAAAGTAAGGCCTATTTTCCTAGTGATTTTCGGCAAAAATTTGAGCTAGTTTTTGAGGCATCATCCACGCAATAAAAAAACTTTACAGTACGGGACCAGACTGTAAATTAAGGCGTACGCAGGGTATATATCCTCCACACAAAAAGTTGGTCACAGTTCGACAGTCTCGAGGCAAAACAGCGTAATTGACATTTTTGTCGATTTTTAGATAATATCATTTGGTAGTACATTAAACACGTCTGAATTACCTGTGAAAATTTCAGGTCTCAACAATGAGTCGTTTCGGAGATAGCACCACCTACTGTATT